TTTCTTCTTTTGTATCTCCTGTCTCTGATGCCTGTCTTTTTTTCCCTCCAAGCTGGACAAGAAGAAGGAACCTTTCCCTCAGGCTGCAGGGCTGAATATGCAAGAGGGAACCAAAACCCTCAAGTAAGTTTCTAGCTGTTTGATTTAGTGGTGGCTAAGGAGCAGAACGTAATGCTCCTCAGATCAGAACTGAGGCTTAGACACATTGGTGTAGCGTCAGAGCTGCTCACTCTGAACCCAAGGAGTTCAGATAGCCCGACAGAAGCTCTCCAAAGCAAGCACGGGTTCTTTTGGGGAGGGTGTGTGAAGCCATCCCGTGCTAAGGTGCAGTGTAGAGAGTTGTTTGATAGTTATTTATGAGTGCATTTAAGTCAGACTTCCCTGATGGCCAATGGGAGTTCCTGCTCTGCAGACCATAGCTTTTGGCCATCACTGCTTGAGCAGAATGTGAACAGTGTTGCCTCATATGTACCCCGTGCGTGAAGTTTTTCTAGGAGTATTTGACCTTGAAAGTAGAATGTGCTGCCTTTTTTGGCTCCTGCTGACACGCGTTTCTTTGCACAGGTCTCTGCTCATGTTTACAATGGAAAACTGCTTCTACCTGCTCATCTCCCAGGCTGTTCGGTACTTGAGAGACCCAGCTGTGCACCCCCGTGATAAGCAGCGGATGAAACAGGAGCTCAGCTCTGAGCTGGTAAGCAGCTTGTACCATCCTTCCTCGCTCTTCACTGCAAATGTGTCTTGTGGGAGAAGGTCATTTGTCTTTGGCTGCCCAGTAGAGCCCATTCCGCAGCATGAGTCAGCAGCCTCAGGGATCTTGGGCTGCACGTACTGGTGCCTGTTCCTCTGCCACCGGCACCTCGTTTGGGGAGGGAGAGGGGCACGTGTTTGAAAGAAGCTAACTTGTTACACGCTTCTAATTTCAGAGTACTCTGCTCTCCAGCCTGTCTCGTTACTTCCGCCGCGGTGGTCCCTCTTCACCTGCCAGCGGGGTTCTTCCCTCTCCCCAAGGAAAGTCTGCCTCCAAGCTGGGTCCTGAGGGGCAGGAGCCTTTGTTTCAGCTCGTGCAGGCCTTTGTCCGGCACGTGCAGAGATAGATCCTGTCCTGCCCCTGCCTCCCTTTTCAGGACTTGCAGCAGAACGATTCATGTCCACCACAGAAGGCATCACCTTTGGCAGAGCTCGTAACAAGGACTGGGAAAGGGGGGGAGGCCTGGTGTGGGCAGTGCTGTAAACTGAGCTGTAACATCAGCAGCGAGATCCCGTTGAACTCCTGCAACCCAGTAGCAGAGTGAATGTAAGGAAAGCCGCGCGCGGCTCTTCAGTGACCAGCCCACGTGCACAGCCTGCCCGCTCCACCCGCTAGAGCATCCTGGCAGGGTACAAGTGCTGAACTGTCAAAACCTTTATTTTTATAGCTTGTACCTCAGCCGGGGAAGCTGTGGCTGGATGGAGAGAGGAGACAAACTTTCCGCTGGGCATTAACTCTGCTCTTAACACAAGGTGCAATCTGCCTCTCCCTCGCAGTCAGAGTCCAGTTAAGGCCCAACCAAGGGATCAGCCAGCAATTCAGAGACCATCTTTCTACTGCTATTTTTGTATTGAATGGTTCCAGGCGAGACGGTGTATGTGTGCTCACGCCTTCCCTTCACCCTGCAGTCTGTGTGTTGTGTGTGTTTCTGAAGAGCAAGGCCTCACTCAAGGTTTTTAAGGCAAAATTCCATTGCTCCAGTCTTGCAGTTTTTTGTAACTGTGCCCTATTTATACTGATATTAAAACCTTTATAGACAGCAGCTGGGTTCATGGGTTTGTATTGGGTGTAGCAGCACCAATTCTGCGTCTTCTGTGTAGTAGTTCTGCTGCATCAACTGGGCTGAAGTCGCAGCTAACAGCGATGAGAGCTGTGGCTTGTGAGTGATGATCCAGATACTGTTTGAAGCGATTATAATCAAAAGTTGATTCCCTCGGCTTTCCCACACCCACTCCCTTTCTTTTACTCTCATGTTGGGGAACTCGTAGGAGGTTTTAAACGAGCATCACTATAAAGTACTCCTCAGGAATGATTCTCCTGCACACCGCGGCATGGACTATGCGCACGGATTGCACTGCGCACAGGTGCAAGCTGCTACTCTGCCTCTTGCAGCAGCAGGGGAGGGCGCAGGCTCCAGCTTGAAGACAGACACGGTGAAGTTGCGTTGTGCTGTTGTAGCTCTCTCAAGTAGATCAACAAACGCTTTAAAGTTCGAAGGCTCAGTGTGTGATGGAGACACTAAGAGAAGGTCAGTGATTATTGCTTAAAATGAAGCCTGAAATCTAGACAGACTTTTCTAAGGTAATAAATCAAATTTCAGTGTAGCTGTGAGCTAGTAACCTACCAATTCTTCCCTAAAGAGACACTTGATTGCTTTACCAGTCAGAACCTTTTTAATCATTATGTTTTTAAGAGACTAGAGTGAGAAAATTATATTATGTTGCTTTGAGGTTGGTTTTTTTTTTTTTAATCCTTGTAAGCTTAAGTGATGGTGATTTTCTAGCACACTTTTTTGGATCTAGTTTTACTTGCCCTGGAGGCTTTGGAGAGATTTGAACTAACTGGCTGGAGCAAAGTGCTCTTAAAGTAGAAGGGAGAGGGGCCTGGTGACCTGCCAAAAGCTCAGGTGAGCTGCTCTGGCAGCGAGGGAGGTGGTGTGACAGTCCCAAGCCTGACGGGTTTCAGATGGAGCTGCCTGTAGCTGTTAACACTCTCTGCCATGGGGAACCATGAGTACGAGCATGGAGAGGTGAAGAACTGCAGAGAAGATAGCAAATTGGTGACGGGTAGCTATGGGGAGTGGAAGTGAAGCCGGAATTCAGTACATCTAAACAAGTTCAGTAGTGCTTAGGGCTGTTACTTGATAGCTCCTGTCAGTGTCTTTCCTTTTGTTACAGCTTTTGAAGTGACACGCAGTGTGCTAATCACTTCATTAGTGTTCAACGAGAATGGATAGAATGAGAGTTTAGGGAGAAGTAATACATTCCTTTAGATATTTAGGTATCTTTTAGATATTACAGTGGATGCTGTTGGTCACACCCGTGTTCTAGAGCCGTACATTCCCTTCAGACAGCAGCAGTTCAGCCCTGAAGGGTACCTTTACCCGCCCCTCAGCCACAGAGGGGCATGGAACAGCCTTCAGCCAAGGGTGGCTCACCGTGACATCTGCAAAAAAGCAGCACGAGTGTAATCGTTCTGTAGAAAGCTAGTTAGAAGTAGCACCAGATTTTCTATGTGCCTTTTTCTAATGCGGAGGGAAGGGAGCGCTGCTGCCAGGAACAGACCTCCTCCTGGCTGTCCTGAGGGAAGAGACACCATTTTCTGCATCATTAAGTTGCTGCTGTTTTTGCTCAAGCTGTTCTTCCCCTTTCTTCATTGTGCCAGGGAGAGGAATAACAGGGAAACGGGGATACCACTGGCCTGAGGGAAAGGTATACATAGTGGAAGGTGGAAGGGAAACAGGCAGGGGTAAATCTACAAAAGGTGGTAGTGGTAGTCGTTGCAATTGTAAAACTAACTAAAACAGTAGAATTATGTGACTTCCCCATTCCCTTTCATTTGAGTTTAACTAGAAAAACTGAGCACTATTGCTACACTACAGAGCATTTCAACAGCTGCTTTTCCCAGGAGTTCTTTCCAAGCTGTCTGCTAGGGACAAGGCTCTAGGATTTTAAATTAGCAGCAGATCTAGTTTCCATAACAACAAAAAAAGTCTGTTAGATCTAGAATAGCATTTCCAGTCTCTCAGCAGCTAAAGTCATCTCGCTGCTCTATTTCTGCATCAGGTTAAGGAGGAGCTGTTGTTTCTTAGAGTTCCTGAATCTGTAGTACAACTGAGATGTGTCATCTGGGAAAGGAACTGCAAGACATTAACAACCTTAAGGCATGTTGAGAGTTTCAGCTGGGACAGGAAGAATGAGCAGCTTTGTTTTGCTTTTACACCTGGCTTCCAAGACCGGGATAGCAGAGCGGCACAGCTCCCACCCGAGCTGCCTCCCCTCGCCTCCCTGCCAGCGCCGCTTCTCCCCGCAGCCTGCAGTCGCACGGCTGGAGAGCAAGGGCAGCCCTGAACCCACGCAAGACGCTGAGGCAGAAGGTCAGGCAGTTTGTTTATTGGCAAATAAGTGCTGAAAACCATGAGCCCTACATACACAGGTGCTCAGTGCCCTGTTACATTACAGTGGTCACCATACCATTGGGGAAAGTGCAAAAGATCAATAAACAAGCAAAGGTAGTTCTGACATACCGAGGGGAAGGTAGTGAACAGAGAGCTTGGTGCAGGTGAGTTTCTCTTCCATCCAGCTTGAGTGGAAAACTAGTTACACAGCAGCGGAAGTCCTTTAGGCGAGCTCTAGCTAAAAAGCTCATTATAGGATTAAAAGGCGTACACACCTGAGTACTCCCTTTGAGCTAAACCACCATGTACATCAAGGGCAGCCGGGGTTGTTTAGTGTGTGTACGGCCCAGAACAGCTCATTGTTGGAGATAACAGCACGTGGGACCCTCCCTTACTGCACTAGGATGCACCAAGTCTGTTCACTGCTGAGATGGGAGGGGAAGCATTAGATAAATCGGTGATCTGGGGTGAAAATAAAGCCAGGCTAAAACACGCCTGGAACAGACACATTGAAATAAAAGCCCGGACAATCAACACAGGGAGCAAAGCTTGTAAAAAGGCTTGTAAACTCTTTGCAGTCCAAGAGCAGTTTCTCAGAGGAAATGCAAGCAAGATGCATGGTCCCTTGCACTGAGGTTTGATTTTCAACATACAGGCCCTATTTCACAAAGAAGTTTCCTTCCAGCTTCAGAGGACAGTTCTAGATTGAAGCCATCAGGCACCACGATAGTAAGCATGGCTCTTGGAGAGCACTGCACTGCTGTTCTCCCACAGGTGAGCAAGGTGGATGGGTTTAACAGGCTCTTAATTCTTAAATTCGGCTTCCTTGCCTCAAGAGCTTGAAGGTGGCAGAGGGTTTGTGTGGGACTCTTCCCCACCGGAATGCTTGATGGTTCGACTTAGGCAATTCTACTGCTGAAGAAGAGAGAGGACGGGAGGGGCAGACAGGCACTAACCCACACCAGACACAAAGGGAAGTGTAACTTAAACTGTGAGCAGCTGCTGAGGGAGACAGCTTGCTGGCCCTGGGAAAGCCACTGTGATAAACAAGACTAGGGTAGAAAAAAAGTAATCAAGGAATCTCGTGCCATCAAGACTAACCTCAAAGCAGGCTGCACTGGTAGTTAACGAATTCAGTCTTGGGTGCCATCAGCCCTTTCCCAAAACCTTACTGTAACAGTTTTACCACTTTTTTCCCCACAATTCCCATATTAGCAATAGAGTGTCAACCCTGAAGAGAGCAATGGTCTCGGATGAAGAAATCCGCGTTAGAAGTGCCAGGAGATGAGGGTGCATTCTGCTTGTACATTCTTCTTCCTGGAGACATTTAGCTTAACAGTTCCAAGTAAGTGACAGGAACTTTCCCTTTTTGGTTCCCTCTTTCCCCTATGAGCCAGTCTGGATCCATGCCTGGCAGGCTGTACACAGTGATCATCTGGGGAGAGAAGACAGCATTAGACAGGACCTTACTCTGCAGACAGGGCCAAGAAGTTCGGTCAGATGGGTACCGAAAGAACACCAATTCCTGAAGTTCATTTAGCAGCCGTCTCACTGGAGCTATCTGCAGTTTTAATAGAAGATCTACAGATGTGCCCAGTGACATCCCTCTTGCCTTTTCATTCTCCAGATTGACTTAAAGTATTTTTGCATACAGGGTGGCACGATATTGCTATGTCATCCCTTCTGAATACAAAAATTCAGTCTAGTCAACAAGAGAGTTTGCAACTTGCTGAATTTCCTTTTTTCTCAGCATGATTAGACCAGGCCTTCAGCCAGGAGCTTAACCTACCCCTCTCCGATAAGGTAGCTGTCTTTGAGGGTCACAGTGAAGATACAAAGTATTGGGCTATTTTGTGAGCTGGGTACAGCTGGACTCCAATAGGAACAGAAGAGTTACGGGGGCGATGGTCTTAAATAGCAAATGGCCATGAGCACAAGCTCACTGAGTTGCAGTGGATACTAGTGTCAAGGAAAAGATTCTATTAGCACTTCCATAAAACAGGGTTTTTAGGGGCAGGAAAAGTAACCAAGACCTTGCTGAGCATGCAGTGGGCTGCTAGGCAGTTATAGCAAAATTGAACGCAAAGAAAAACTACCAACCTCATCTGCAAGAAGTGCCAGCTCAGTGCTGTCAGCTGCTTCATAATCATAGAGGACTCTGGCCTTCCGTGTCCCACTGGCGGGAGGCTTGACTTCGTTTGGGTTCAGTACACTCTCTGCCACAGTATTAGGCACCCCAGCAATCGTGGGCACAACTGGAATAGTAGGCACAGTGGGGAGTGTGGCAGCAGCAACAGCTGGAGGAGAGGTAGCAGCTGGGGGAGGAGATGTGGATTCCGCGTTGCCTACGAATGTGCCTGAAAATCTTACGCAGGAGAAAAAAAGCAGAGTTCAGTAAGGTTCTAGTATGGGGAACCAAGAAAGAGCCCTCTGTTTCCGTAGTTACACTGCAGAGATAATGCTCAAGAGTTCCAGCAAACAGCTGTAACGTCTATGCTGCCCTTTGGGTGGGGAATCGCACTCAGTTCTCAGGTGCTGAGACTGCAACAGGTAATATTTGTCTGCTTATTTGGATTCCAGCATCCTGTTACAGGACTGACACCTAACTTGCAGAGTACGAGGCTGAAGCGTTGCAGCGGGGAGGGGTCTGGGCAGGTGCCATTCTTGGCTCTGCAGCTGTTTTACCAGGTCCATTGTGCTGTGTCCTTGCCCTGCTCTCACATGGCCTGTGTTATCTGTTTAGTCTGCTAGTTCTTCAGGAAAGGGACAGTCATTGATGCTGTCAAACTGGATGCCACAACTGGAGGCTCACAGGCTTTCTGGGCTCTCTAGATAGAGACAGTAACGGAGCTTGGTCTCATCTATCTGTAGATACCCCCCTCTGCACTAAGGGAGTGCAGCTCTGGCCCTTGCTGGCCTTTGTAGCGAGTCTGCGGAGACTCCAGAATTTGGCTGAGGTGGAGAGCCATTAGAGCCAGTCCCGTGCAACATTTTACTTACATTTCTCCTTTGGAGCTGCAAGCATGGAAAAGAATGGAACAGGAGCAGTGAGTGATCACGCAGAGGCAACAGCCCCTCCTGGGTCGGGCCACCGCACTGATGCGACAAGTTAACAGACAAAACAACCCTGCCTGCGCCCACGGGATGTGCAGCCAGCGGCACAGATTCAGTTACTGCTCCAGCTGAGGCTTGCTGCTTGGCAACAGGAATTTGTCTCCCATGCAATGTAACTAATATTAGAGGAAGACTGTTCGAACTCTCATAGCCATCGTGCTTCGAGATCAATGTATAAAAACCAGATGAATCCAATGGCAAAGGCTGCTCTAAATGCACTACCACGGGGATTGGTCACCATTCTATAAGCTCAGAAGCTCTGTCAGAGCTTAGAGGGGGCTTTAAAACTTCTACCCAACGTTATGACACGGGCTGGGGAAGGAGGCCTGAGCTACAGTAGCCAGATGAGTAACCCTGAGAGAAGTAAACCTCTTATCTCACCTGCCCAGTTGCTTCTGCAGGTCCAGCATGTATTGGTAACACTGAGCATAGTAGTTGGTCTGAGACTCCACAAACTCATGGAGACAGCGAAGATGATTCACCTGGAGGGAGAAGGACCATAAGCTGGTCTGTGAGTTGGATGCCAGGTACAGGAACCCTCTTCCTGCAGCAACTACCTACCCACCCCGGGAAGCAGACTTGTGCAGGCCAGTATGTAAGAGTTACTCGGTTGGCTTGAATACACTCCTTTGTTCACTTTGGGAACGTTGCATCAGCCCAAGGGTGATCTTGGAGACGAGGCTGCTGCTGGCACTCCAGCCTTGCTCATGTGGCTAGTCCACAGCTCTAGGTGAGGAAAGAACACGGTTTTTCTGGCTCAGAAGCATTTTGAGGACTGTAGAACTGCAGGTGTCACAGTGGCACTGCCTGTGCATGCTTCATTGTTTTTAGTTTGAACATTCCAGGTTTTATGAGGAGGTTGCTGTAGCCTCCAATGTTATGACCTCTTCTACCTCTGTTCGAAATGCAGCGCTCTCGCATCCTCTTGGCATTCTTTGAGAAAGAAGCCAAGAGTCCCTGTAGTCCCTGTCATCCCCTCAGTTACCGAGGAAGACTCACATGTGTGCTGCTGATCCCTTCCAGCAGGAGACGTGTCACCTCGGCCTGTCGATCAAACTCGGTCTGCGTGAGCCTCAGCTCGTGTTCTGCCTGTAAAACGGGACAGGGTGTTCAAGGCGGCACAAGGCAAGGACCACTGTTCTGCCTCTTCCAGGGAAAGGCAACACCCACCTCCTCCACCAACCCCCCCTTTTGGCACTGAGACAAGTGTGCTGTTGGCTCAGTAGGATCCATGTGCACCTGTGACACTGAACACCAGGCACAAGACACCCTGGGTGAGGATCCCAGAGGCCTCTGGCTGTATTTCAACTCGATTCCTGCTCGATCCTGCATTGGATCACTGCAGGTCATGGAATGGCAGCTCAGGACTGATACATCAAGCTAGGAAGGTCCTACTCCCATAAGACTAGACCATGAAGATGGAGAGGCTTTGTTAATCTTGAGGTATGTGGAAAGCCAGTCCCATGCCAGCACCTGTCCCTTCGTTGCCTGTTGTAGGACTCTGAGTACTGGACAGCCAACGCTGCTCATCAGTGTCTGTCCCCTGCAAAGGTAACACTGGAAAAAGGACGGTTCCCACGGCCAGCAAGCCCGAGTCTGCTGCAAAATACAGCTCTCTCAACCCCCTCTCTCAGCCTATAGGCATAGGAATGCAACAACTTCCTTCAGTTTCTCTCCAGAAGTGCAATTTTTGCTGGTATCCTTTTTATCACTGCAGAACAAAGGCTGAGGCCAGGGAGCATTTACCAAATGGCTGTTACTCAACTGCATCTGTCCACAACGGAGATGAACATCCCAATCAAACTTCTACCCAAGGGTCTCCTTTGAAGCTAGTTACTTATTTTGAGCTAGGAGGAATTGGTTAATAGAAGGCAGCTATGCAGCAGACCTTGGGAATTCAAAGAGAGACTGAAACTGCAGACCCTGTTTACCAAACAGACAGAACATCTCTGCCCCACCAGCAAACACCGTATTTACATGAGGGCAGTTTTGCAGTACCAGAATACCTGGGTGGATCCTTGCAAAGAGAAGAGCTCCAGAGGTATTGGAGCAGTCAGGTGCTCTGGTGCCAGCTCTCCCCTCCCTGCTGCCAGGGGGAGACGGGTGACAAGCAGGCACATTTGTTCTCTCTTGCATTCATTACTCCTGAACACCAAGCGGAACGTGCCAGTTCCCTCTTAGGACGTGCTGTGAGCGACAGCACAGAAAAGTGATGTCCGCTCAGCTACAGCTTGCTGGACAGACAGGAGTACGGGCTCTGTGTCCTCTTCCCCTTCTCCAGGAGGGTGCAGCAATCGGAGTGCTGCCTGCCTCGGTGCGGTGCCTTCTGCATGGCATCAGTTCTGCGCCAGAGCTCCTTTTGGTGCTTTAGAAATGCCCTGATCGTTCTGGCACAGGAGCGACTTGTCTGGAATTGACCCCAGAGAGCTAATCCAGACAGGCTGATAGTCTCAGAGCAGAGGCCACACCGCTGGTGTTTCTGAGCTGGGTCACCCCAGAGGAGATGCAGCCTTCTCAGCAGGGCAAGCTGGAGTTGCTGCTGTGAGCTGTTAACATCTCTCATCCAGTAACAGCGTTACCAGTACTGTTGCACAGCTAGGCCAGAACAAAGAAATGCTTTGACTGTCTTTTAATCAGATTTGTCTATTTTAAGCTACAACTGATCTATTTTCTTGCATCCTCCGTATGAAAGGGATTATTTAAAGGAGAAGGGGGAACGCAACAGGAAATACCAGTGCAATGCTCCAGTGAGCTGGGCAGAGGCTTGGGTAGCGGCAGAGCAATTTGAAACTTGTGACAGGCAGACCCTGCTCCGTTTGGCACTGCCTGGGATTTGACCCGTTGCCTCTCCCTGCTAGCTCTGAGCAGTTGCAGGATGTAGTTTCCCATGAAGCCAGCACTGGACGGTGACCTGGGAGGTCCCTTCCACTCTTGTGCTTCTCTAAGACACAGAGAACTTTGAAGTTTGCTGACATACCTTGGTCTATCCAGCCAGGTTAGACCAAAGATAGAGGACAGAGGAACAGAGCCTTGCATGCTTATAGCTGACTGCAGTCAGCTTGTTTGTTTAAGGGACTGAAGGATTTAAAGTACGGGATGAGCTGGTTCAAAAACAGCCAGTCTGCTCTGATGATGCATTTAGAGTAAGGCAGTAATAGGTTGCTATCATGCACAGCATGCAGGACCATGCCATTCTACCACCTTGCAGTTCAGGCTTCAGACTAACGTCTGCTGGGGGGTGTTTGAGGTATGAAAGGTAACGGGATCTCAGAAAGTGTCTCTGGAAGCTCCATACCATGCTGGAGCTCCACACAGAGCTCTCCCTGGTCTCTAGTCCACTAGCAGCCCTCTGTCCATCTTCATGGATGAGTCACACTCCCCTTGGAGGACCCAGAAAATGGGTCCACTCAGAATGGTAAGTGCAGCTCACCCACAGTCAACTCCACGACAGGCTCCAACCTTCCCACCCTGCCCTCCGGACAGAGCTCTTCCCTCCAGCAGCTGAGGCTGTTCATGGGAAACCCTCTGCCCTTGCTTCAGCTCTGCTCAGAGCTCCTGCTTGGACCCCAGAACAAGCAGGCAAGGGGCTACTAGAGGCTAATGCGTGGCACATGCAAAATTGGAGCAGGCAGGGCCTTTGCCACAGGAGCAGAGCTGAATCACGTCACAGTGCATCACCTCTGCTCCTGTGACACCAGTGCAGGGCTCTCAGAGTTGTCTTATCACATATGCACGAACGCCCGGTTTGCCTAGGAAGTCTCTCACACTAGGTACAGCCAACTGGCCCACGGGGCAGGCTCTTCCCACGCCACTGTCAGAGTCGCACTCAACCATACGGCTGCAGGATCAGGGCTGGGGCTGACACCAGCAACATCCCACTGATCCTCCCCCGCACGTGTGCAGGCACACGAGCAGGAAGGAGCCCGCAGCACCCCCACCCCCTAAACACCACCAGCGCACCCAGAGGGTTTGAGCACAATTTCAGCTGGGTACTTACTTTTTCCACCTCGTCGCTCCAAAGCTGTAGGGGCCACAGAGCAACAGGAAAGGAGATCAGTGTTGGAGACGTCGAGAAGGACTCGGCATTAACACCAATTGGCAAGGACGCTCCGTGGACACAGCAGGCCAACTCCGGGGACAAGCTAGCCCTTCACCCAGCAGCAGCTGCCAGATCGATGCCCCTTCCCCTCATTCTTGAACCCTTGAGCTCAGTTTCACAATGGGAGAGCAAACCCATGCCACCAGAGCCAGCGGCACTCCAGCTCTGCTCCCTGCCAGGGCTGTTACAGCAGCTGCATTCAGTAGGCTCCAGGGAGAAAAGAATTCAGCGGTGGAGTCCTCTGAACAGCAGTTACTTTGCTGTTCAGAGGGGTTACTTTGCTGAAGCCCGCAGAAGTTGGTGTTGAAGGACAGCCCTTCTTTTAGGATTGTGAAGAGGCAAGCGAGCTGCTCGAGTCCACAAATAGGGCCTGGGAACTGCTGTGAGCTCAAGCCAGACGGAGGCCAGTGTTCCTCACCCACTAGTCTAGAGAGCTCAGGTTAATGGGATCATAATCCGGCCCGTCTGCGCTACCAACAGGTATATTTAGCTACAGCAAGGAGGAAGCAATGGCTGGATGCTGCCTTTGAGGCAGGCGAAACATCATGCTACTCCTTCCTACTCTCCTTACCCACAGGGGCACATTTGGGGCAGCACAATAATGCCAGCTGCTTGCTGGGATCTGGCTGCAGGACATGAAACAATTGACAATAAAAGTCACGCACAGCAATGGGAAAGGGAGAAAGAGGTAGAAAAACAGATTGAACCTTCCCAGAGGTCCTTGGCTTGGCCTTTCCTCAGCAGAGAACTACTCCCTCAGCCCTAGCAACATGAAGAGAAATCACCCTGGATCAACTGGAACCGAACCAGCCCGCCAGCAACACCCTAAATCAGCAGGGCCAGGGGGAGATGGCCCCCGAGGCCCTCAGCTTCACTCTAATGCCACCTTTGGAGATCAGGGAAGTTCACCGTAGTTGCTGAACCTGCGCTGCAGGTACTTGGAAGCCTCATGCTGGATGCTGGGGCATCAGAGGGAGAACACGCTCTGTTTAGACCCAGGGTCTCCCAACCGAACCTTGCTGAGGTTTGCTCACAGCAACTGCTCTCAGGTGTGCTGTGGCAGCCTCAGGTGCAGAGACAACTTCCCCGGCCAATATAAGGAGCACCTGCAGGAGTTGCCTGCACTGGTGAAGGGCTGAAGCAGGGAGGTGTTATGGCAGCTCCTTGGCTTGCTGCCTGCTCCTGTTCCAGCTTCTGCCCCCTGGCCTGCAGCGCAGTTCTATGGTACGTAGCCTGATTGGCGTCTTTTTGTACTTGAGCAGAGTTATTATAGCCGGTCCCCTTACAATTGCAGGCTGTCCCTGTGCAGTGCTCAGTGTACCGAGGCTGGGTGTTTTCTCTGACCTTTAGGTGGATGTTTTGTTACTGCAAATCAGAAACTGGTTCAAATAAGGCCTGGGCAATTTCAGCCATGCGTGGGGACACAAGCCCTTTCCCCTTCTCTAAGAACTCCTACTCTGGAAGGAATGTGGTAGGCAGCTGAGAAGCAGGTCCTAGCCTGAAACGCTGCTCTGGCACGAGGCCTCTGTCGGTGAACACCTGTGTTTTTGGAGCAAGGTTTACTATAGGGGCAATGGGAAGCTTTCACTCTGGCCATGGGTCTTCCTACTTAAGTGGTGTAGACAGTACTTAAGCCGTTTCAGGCCCATCTAATCATTGCAATTCTGAATTTGTAACCAGAGTTGTTTCTCTTCTGTTGGCTTTGCTGTGCAATCTCCAGCTCTGACCCTTTGGTGCTCTGGGGCAGTCCAGATCCACCCCTGGGCTAAGGCACTGTGCAGCTCTGGTCAGAAGTGTTTCAGGCAGCTCAGGGAGCAGGAAAGGCCATGATCTGCGCCTGTCTTCCTTCCCCCCCAGCTCAAGCCAGAAGAACCCTCTTTAAGGTACTCAATATGTTTTTCTTGGAATCATTCCTAGGAGTACAGCGCGTGGCAAGTGGCAAGGTCTGAGAGAAAGGGATATTTAGGTTTACATGGCCCACGTACACTTT